ATATATATATATATATATATAGTAATAATAAGATATCTTACAAACCCAAAAAGATATCTTATAAATCAATTATATAAGATATCTTGTATTGCTTATAAGATATCTCATATACTTTTAAAGGTATCTTATAAATTATTTGTTTTAAAATATATCTTTAAAAAGATACAAGATATATTTTAAACTATACAAGATATCTTATTTAGTTTAAAAGATATATTTATAAGTTAATAAGATATCTTACAAGGTTAATAAGATATCTTTTAAAGTATATAAGATATCTTATTAACTTCAAATTAAATAAGATATCTCATATAGAATACAAGATATCTTATATAATTTGTTAGATATCTTATTTACTTTCTAAGATATCTTGAAATTGAATAAATATAAAAACGGCTTGCCATACATATCACTAGCAGCGTGTTTTTGCGGTCTAAGATCTTTATATTCATGTACTAGTATAGTCGTCAGATTTGTAATTTTGCCGATTGTGTCCAATACCCAATTTTAACATTTTGACTGAATGTAGATTCGCTTGGCGGGTGATGCGTACATAGCAGGGGACGCTTACCTAGTCTCGCTCTTTTTGAAGTTCATGCGATTCCCTCAGGGTTTTTTTGTTACCTTGATTCGTCTCTTATTGATTGATGTACGACGATTGGAACATCAGAATACTACTGTCGCCCTTATTTAACCATCTCATTTCAACATCAGTAGAAGAGAGGCAAAAAAATACCAAAGGGACATTCAAACTCATAAGTAAACTGATATTTAGAAAACAAACTTCCAAATTTAAAAAAAAACGCATCAAGAGGCTGCCATAAATTGTTAGAGTGTTTCTCTAGTATAATCTCAAAGCGTAATGAATGGCTGCTTCTTTTAAAATATCTAAATACATTCTTGCCAAATTGCCTTATAACTTTTACTGCATTTTGATTTTCTCTTCCTGCATTAAAAATATGTTTTAATGGCTTACCAATGTACAAATGAAAACATTAACGAATGTTATATTTTAGCTTTCCTATTGTCGAATTCCTATTTTAAATAGTATAGTTAATATCTAGTGTATATATGAATGACACAGCAACTCAACAACATGAACTATCAAAATACATCTAGAGGTCAAAACATGGTCTACAACAGACAAGTGTCTATACGATATCAAATTGAGTCGAATAAATAAGTCAACAGTTGTTTATCGATATCAAAACTAAATTCATTTTGAATTTACAAACCAAGAGAAACACATGCACTGAAAAATGTAAACGTCTCTTAATTAGCATGCATTACCCGCCATGCAAATCCACTCAGAAAAAAATGTAGCAATAGGGAATAGGACACAACTGGTTTTACATACTTTTCATGTTTGTTAAGATCAGAGACTCCGTAAGCATGCATGTTCCTCACATGGTTTTGCATGATTACATGATTTCACACACAGACACTTCACTTCGGTTAGTGAAAATGACTGTTAAACTTGCATGGTGTCGATTTCACTCGTTCTTTCTTATTTTACTGCTGGATGATTGATAGATTGTTGCTTGCTATACGACCAGTGGTCCTGCTTGAGGTTTGCACACCTCTGTTAATGAAGTCTATCAAATGTAAATACGCGCGTAACATTAGGTACAAGAAGACGATCCGAATATGAAGCAAACCTTGTAGTTACAGTATACCTTTAATGCGGAGTTCACTTGGATATATTATGAGACGCAAGCACTAACTGAAATGTGGATAATTGAGTGAAAAGGTATTATCAATATATCTGAATGTATTTTTAATAAAACAATAAGATCTTGGCAACATACTTTTTCTGTTTGTCTTTTGGATGGTTTTGTATGACTTCTGCTCTATATAAACACTAAAGTCGGCCAGTAAGAATGCAAACTTAATACCCAGCAAACTCCACCCGCTGTTTGTTGCAAAAGGAACATACACAAAAAATAAACGACCGATGCTGAATGATTGTCAACTATAACATCGTTGTCTTTTTTAAACGGTCTTACATATGTACCATATCAGATTATATTGACCTAGTGTTTTTAATATTTATATTTTACGGAAATGGTTGGCAACATGTATAAGTCAAATGAAGTTGTAGCTAACCTTTTTAAATGCGCCTATTGCTGTATCTCACACTTTTATATGAAACCAACATGGACTAATTTAATCCATCTGTATTTAAGTTTAGAATGAGGAATTTGAGTGTAGAGAGAAGATATGTGTTTAATTGCACGAGGAAAGAAACATAGATTGTTTGCACTCTAACAGATCATTTGATTTTTTCAGTGTCATTAAAAAAGAGGCGAAGGATATCAAAGGGACATTCAGACTCATAAGTCGAAAATAAACATACAACGCCATGGTTAAAAAAGAAATAGACAAACAGACAAACAACAGTACACAAAACGTAATAATTGAATAGATTTATAATTTGGAATGATGTTTCTTGGGGCATTTGACAGACACTTCTGTAAATTTGGTATGAAGTACTATAAGAGAAGACCCATTTCTTCATTTTTAATTGAAATTCACATGAAAAAAGAACGGACCAATGTTAAGGATTTCCTGTTTGTTAAGAGTCTTCGGAGTATAGTGTAATGTCAATACCTAATTCTTTTACCAAGCAGTTTATGTAATGTGGTTTACCCCAGGAATAGATTACCTTCGCTGTATTTGGCATAACTTCAACTTCGTACTTTGTTTGGCCTTTTAAACTTTTTTGATTCGAGCGCCACTGATGAGTCTTATTTTTTTTTGACGAAACACGCGTCTGGCGTACACAATTTCAATCCTGGTATCTATGATCAGTTTATTTTAAAAATGATGAGGCTGGGGACTTTGTCTTTGGCGAAAACAACATATTTGTCCTGGAGGTAGGACAGGTGTTTAGCAACATTCGGGTCTTTGATGATAGATATAAAGTATTCATAGACCAATCACGTTTAAATGCTTCCCGAAATTTCTTTGGGAGCATGTAGTAATCCTTACTTCGCCCGTGTGTTCATGGTTTCCGGATGATAAATTGAACTTGCTTGATTGGATGACACTCATACAGATGGAAGTTATGGGTACGAAATGTAAAGAATCTTATAATTTTTGGTTAAATAGCTCAAAGGTTAAGCCAGCTTTCAGTAAAAAAAACTTGATTTACCTTATTCAGGTACGCTGAAATCTTAAATTTTGAAAACCAATATTGTTACGCCCCTGTGGTTTGACAGATTATATTGATATTTATTGTGATTTGAACTTGTGTAAATTACACAGTTCATTCAGTATTTGTTTACATTTAATTTCATTGTAACGCGCCAATGTAACGCTACGTGTTCCTATTCTTGTTTAAGAATAACCTGTGTATTACGTCACCAATAAACGACGCTTTTGTATAAAATGCGAAACACATGTTCCAACTGGGAGATTCTCTCCAAGATCCTCCATGCGGTTAGCAGTATATCTTAAATTATAATTTGGTGTACCAAGTAAGAGTGTAATAGACTTGATAATTAATAACCAAGTCTTCATTTCAAAATGCTAACGTACTGTTTGCTCGGGTAAATCGCCAACCATGCACTGAGTATGTAGAGTATTTGAATGCAGTGAACCAGGCAAATTTTCCGGCACGAAGTATGCAGAGTATTAGAATGCAGTGTCTCAAGTAGATTTTCTTGCACCGAGCGCTAGAAGAATTGCTTTATTAAACTTGTTGCAAGTAATGCACCTTGCTGTATTACTTATTATATATTAATGTATTTTATTTCATATCATATATTTTATGAACCACTGTAGGGTTTTTTGTTGTATTGCATATTACTGAAGCAGAAAATAATACAATTTATGATTTTTATTATTACTTCCTTCACCGGAGGCCTACATAAGTAACATCGGATCTCCTGACTCGAAAAACACCGGAACGTTTCAATATGTATACTGAATAAAAATACTTAGACCAGGCGGAGCTGCTTATCTAAAAGGAGCATCAAAAAAGTCAAATTCGTCTGAGATCAACTTTGTCTGATTGACCTTGAAGCCTTAGTTACTTGATACATTTGTAATTTCCAAATTTATCAAGGGAAAACTTAAATTTTGTTACTCATCATGTCAGAACCGAAACACTGACTATTGGGCTGATGATAACATCAGGGACTTATAACCAGCAGTGGTATCGACCGAGTGCTAGAAAATGAAATAACTCTTTATAAATGTGTAGGGTCTGAAGTGCTCTTCTGGATTTACCTTGCTCAGGAACGCTCAAACCCCAAATACAAAATTTAAAAAAAATATGAAACAAAATGAGGCTTGTTATCTGTAATACCGACATTATAAAGCTGTTAAGATATATATCAAGTTTCGTTCTTCTTGATAACTTTTATTGTTCCAGTTACCAAGATCGGGTTTATATGCCAGTCTGAAAACAGTGGCTGTCTATGATTATGTCTTAATGTTTTGTTTATTGATACATTCGGCGTGGGGTGAGCTTAGGTATTCTCTGTTTTAATCTTTCCTGTTTTCTTCAGATTTAAGTCAATTACGAGTTCGATATATTTTAAAGACAATTATATGTTTCATGAAAACCGTATTTCACTTAGTTTTTGTATGTCACCTGGATTTGTCTCTTCTTGGTCGATGGGTTTTTTATGGGGGTTTTACCTAATTGCCCTAAGGCACCCTCATATCCTTGAAATAAATATATATATATATCTGAAGTACAACTCTTTAAAAAATAATTGGTACTTGTAATTATTTTTAGGGGGGGGCTATTGGAAAATTTTACAGTCTATTCAAATAATTACTAGTACATGATGAGAGCTTGTGTGTGTCATCAGTTTATGGTTTTCTATCATCTTTTATCGGCTATTGTTGATAAACCAAATCGTAATATATTTTGTAGGTAATGAAATATAAAAATAATTAACAAAAAATTAACAAAAACATTATTCACTTGTAAACACATAGGTTTTTTAAAATAATATAAATTACAAAAGCTTTTGTTCAATTATGAGTTCAATGAACTGGTTGACATACTTCCTTTTATATCACTGATTTGTAGAAACTTTTAGTATTATGAACAGTACAATATGGTATGCATTATATCAAAGACATACAGAGGATAATAAGGTAATATTTTTATTTAATTCTTTGTATCTATCATCAAAAATCAAATGGGAAAAAAAACAGTCAGGGCCATTTCTCAGATGTAAGATAAAGACTTGTAATGCTCGTTTTCATTTAACTGGAAAACTATCTGTTTTTAAATCATGATTATGTGATGCCTGTCTTTTTCATTTGCTACTTAAATACAAGTCACCGTTTGTTTATTGTATTCTCTTTTATTTAAGAAAGTTGAACATATCAAAAGAAACAAACTCTTCATAACAGTTTTGACGTAGTTGTGTGCTTCTTAATAAAATACAACTACATAGTGAAATCATCATTTTATATTTCAGTTAAGATGTCCTCGACATCTGTGCTGCCTTGTGACACATGCAAATACAGGAAAAATGAAAATCCTGCCGTGCATTGGTGTTCCGAATGTGAAGAAGGGCTGTGTGCCGATTGTTATACTCATCATACACATTCAAAAACGTCAAGAAAACATGGCATCATAACTATTAATGACTATGAAAAACTTCCGGCCTTCATTCGCGAGAAAAAGCACTATTGCAATGAGCATGATGAAAAGTATGAATACTTTTGCTCTGTACATGGCACCCCATGCTGTAAAATATCCTCAGATACCGAGCACAAAAACTGCAAAGGCTTATCTTTAATTTGTGACATTGCTCATGGAGTCAAACAGTCGGCCGCATTTTTAGAAATGCATTCAATGATCGAAAATATCAAACAGAATATGGAAACAATCTTAAAAGATAAAGAAATAAACTTGAAAACAATTCATGAGAGTAAAGTAAAATTTCAAAGCGAGATCAAAGAAATTCGAAAAAAGTTGACAAATCTCTTTGATACACTTGAGAGAAAATTATTAGAAGAACTGGAGTCTGTCGAAAAGAAAATCATTCAACAATCTGAAGATTTTATGAATGAGGTCACAGACGGCAAGAATAAAGTTATGAAAATTCAAGAGAACATCGATGCAATCAAAATACATGCCACAGATTTTCAGGCATTTGTTGGAATGAATGAATTGAAAGATGAAGTGGAAAAAAGGAAACAATATCTACAGATCGTGTATGAGGATAGCCGGTTAGATAGAATCAATATACGTTGCAATATAAATGAAAAGATAAAATTATTTTTAACTGACGTACATACATTTGGAGAGATTGAAGGAGAAAAAAGCTCTGCGAAGGATCTGTTCTCGGTATATACTCATGAAATTAAAGAAACGCATGACAAGAGTAAAGCTTCCGAGTCAAAAACTTCAAAAACACGATCTGACCCTGTTGCAAAGGCAAAAGTAAAACGTACTCTTATTGTTCCAGCAGGCTCAAATAAAAATACAATTACAAGTTGTGCCATTTTGCCCAATGGTAAATTTGCTTTTGTAGATGGCACATACAACCATCGAATAGTAATTATGGATAGCACTGGCACATCCAGTGGGGAAATTTCGCTGTCACCGTTGTTTGCATTTGATGTCACATGTATAGACAGTAAAACAATCGCGATAACAACCGGAAGTAGCGGACAAATTGCTTTTGCAAATATCTTGTCAAAGAAAATTAAAAAGTCTATTGGCACAACCTGGCAATGCGACGGAATAACTCATGTAGATGGAAAACTGATTTTTTCTGTTTATTCAAAGGGGATACATGTGTTACACTTAGACAGTGGTCATATTTCCACAATTCATAAAGCAAATATAACTGTCGATACGTATGTTACGTCACTTGGTGACAAAATATATCATACAAACTGGAAGACCAATAGTGTGACATGTTTCAATATGGATGGCAACACATTGTGGACATATGAAGATGATAAAGTTCTGCAAAAACCGCGAGGTATTGCCGTTGACAGTAAACAGAACGTTTACGTAGCGTCACTGGGAACTGAAAGTATCGTGGTTATTTCCTCTAATGGAAAAGAAGGACGACAGCTTCTAACTAAAAAGGATGGAATTGAAAATGTCCGTGCCATATATTATGATAATAATAACAATTGCTTACTCGTATCTACATTATCAGGTTCGGCATTCCTCTTCGAACTTTAAACTCATATATATATATACTACAATCTTCAACAAAATAAAATATTAGAATTTGATCATTGTTCTTATGTTTTCATGTATTTATATATTCTTGGCATTCAAATGTTGGGTTTGAATGTTCCTGATGAAGCTACATCCAGAAAAGCTATTCGGACGCACGAAATTTATAGAGTGTTATTTTCATTTTGTCCTTTTTGTTTAGAAATAAATATTAACATAAACAGAATTAAGCGGGCAATTCACTACTTTATAGTAAAATAATTGGAAACAATCCATCTTATAAAAAATGAACTAGCGTCGCAGTATATATAGCCCTATAATATATATAACCACCATTTACAGAAACTATATATCTGTTTATGTGTTTTACAGGCGCATAGGTAAAACGAATGTAATGCGATTAATCTATGGTATTATTGATTAAAGAAATAAAAACTCTAAGTACCATAAAAAAAACACATCAAAGATATCAGGCTTATAACATTTAACGCCAGACGCTTGTTTCATTTACATAAGACTCATCAACGGCACTGGAATAAAAAACAGTTTAAAGGTCAATTGAATAACGAAGTTGGTAAAAACCTCTTTGTATTTTAAACGATTTAAACCGAAAAACTGTAAAATTTGGTTTCATGTTACCCAAAAACTCGTATCGTATTTTTTAAAAGAAAAAACATATGATGAATAATAAATTCTAAAAAGAATCAAAAAGATTAAAAAGCAAAATAAATGAAGGCACATTGGACGAGTTGAAATTATTGTTTTCAGTCTGAAAAATAGTGATGTTTTAAAAATGAAAATTCTTGTACTGCGGAACTTTGAAAAACATGAACAAAAACGTATAGGAAGTACATTACACTCTTTTAACCCAAATTGTTTCGGTTATTAAAAAGACATCACATTCTTCTAATATACATTCGGCACAAAAAAAGTTTTTATGTGTTTTAAGACTACAATGAAATTCTGCATAGGCATTTGTATATTCACGTATGCATATCATGTTATAAAACTGGAGAAGCTAAAATCATCTCATTCTTCCATTACCAAAAAAAAAAAAAAATAAGATATACACAACATTATACCGCTAATTCTTGTGCGAAATAGGTTTTTAAAAAATCTATTGCAAAGACCCTGTTCAAAGGTCGGTAAAATATTTTTTTTTGGGCTGTTATAGTAATTTGTTATCATGAGTGTGTATTAAGCTTGATCTAATGTTATGGGAATTTTTAACAAACACCGTATCATTCTTATAATTTGAACAAACAAAATGCTTATACGAAAAACAAATACATTTGTATAGTAAAGTTATACCACTTAATATAGAACTGTATCAAAGCAGCAGCTCCAAAGATAAACGAAAACAGAAGTTTAATAGCGTATTATATACCGATATGATTCAAACGGTGAAGACATATTTAAAAAAAAAATCTGGCAAAGGTATAATCTGCAGAACTTTGAAAAGTCTTGATTTTGGGTTTTCTTAAAATCATCTGATAACTTTGTTTTTTTTAAGAAATCCGCATTTAATTGCTGTGAATACATCTATTAACAAAACGCATTTAATTGCTGTAACACCTCTTTAGGTGGCCTGTTGCAAAGCTCAATTTAAATCCGTTTCCAATATAACCTCATTTTACAGTGGCATTCCAAATTTTCCGCCTATCTTCCCGGTCGACCACTATGGCAGGACCTACATATTGTATTTGTTGAAAAGTTGTTGATAATTTATTTTCATCCTAATCATGCATGAACTATTTGCCACCGGGCGTTTAGATTGATTGATTGATTGTTGGTTGATTCACGTCCAGTGGTAAATATTTCATGCTTGTTTAGAACGACAACAAAAAATCAAAAAAACAAAACCAATATGTAGGTCCTACCACACACCAACGGGATATTAAGAGTTATTCCTCTTTACATTTATTACAAGAAATTTAACAAGAAAAGTGATATACCAGAAATAAAGAGACAAATGAAATGGCTATTGCGTATTTTCTCAAAATACGATGGCTTTTGCGTATTAGAATTGGTATGTACTGTGAAAAAGAAACATGTTAACGGACGGAAATACAGAAACATACTAAATTCCACTCATTTCCAACAAATATGCTGAATGGGTTGAAAGAGGCTGAGTGGCTGGTGCTGGTATGGAAATACGAAAATTGTGTCATAACATAACTGCAGTGATATTAAACTAAGGAATTCATATGAAAACAAGAGATGTTCCTTGCCCGTGGCTATACTTTTGGTCCTTTCCGGTTTTATCACCTCATAAAAGTTTGTAATAGGTTTTGAAATTTAAAGATATGTTTGCCCTAGCACCGCTTAGGAAACATATTTTGTTTAATAAAGGAGGAAGATACCAATGAGACATTCAAAACTCATATAAGTCGAAAAGAAACTGAAAACGCCATGGTTAAAAAAATAAGTCAAAAGAAACTGACAACGCCATGTTTCAAAAAAGATAAACGAAGTAAAGACGAACAAGTTTCACAAACACTACATATAAAACTAAAGACTGAGCATCATGAACCACAAGAAAAATTGGGGGAATATTGTGTGCTCTGGGAGGATCAGCTAATCCTACTCTACTATTGGCACGGTACAAATGCTGTATAAGTCTGATTCGGTGATGCCACAATCAAGAAAAAGAGAACGAGAGTGTGTTTACGACATTAGAACATATGCATGGTCATATGTGACAAAGATAATCTATTACGGTCAATCATCTCTTGATGGCGATCCTAAAGCTTACGAAGGAATGACTTCAACTTTACCACTAAGGGCCCTTGGCTAAATAGCTTCATTGGAAGCACTAACTCTTTATCAAGGAAATGAGGCTAGGAGACTGCTTGTCAGTTTTATCACCTCTTCAATGTTTCTATTCGATTTGAATGTACAAATATTTTGGCCTTTATCATTACAGAAGAGTCATACTTTATCAAAAAAACGTATTAATGTGACGTGCAATTTATATTTCGTTTGTGGTGTCTTGGTGTGCAGTCGTAAATTCATGGGACGTGTCCGTTGTTATTCTGAGGTTTACATGTTGTAATGTACTATTATATCATTTATTTATGTATTTCTCCGTGCTGAGTGTTTTTGCGTTTGTTTGTACTGTATTCCTGACACGTAGTGTTGTCATTTTAGCGGTATTTTTAACATTGCCATATACGCGGGAGGTTTGGCTAGCCATAAAACCAGGTTCAACCCACCATTTTTTCTTAAAATATCCTGTACCAAGTCATGAATATGGCAGCTGTTATCAGACAGTCCGTTTCTATGTATGTTTGCGTTTGCTTTTGTTGTAGTTCAGTGTTTCTGTTGTTCCGTTGTTTTCCTCTTATAGATGATGTGTTTCCCTCGGTTTTAGTTTGTTACCCAGATGTGTTTTTGCTTAATCGAATTATGACTATTGAACAGCGGTATACTACTGTTGCCTTTATTTAATGCAGTAAAATATGTACCGATTAATATTTTAAGAAAAATCGCTATCGAAATTATGGGTCAGGGTAACAAGGAATTAATTTGTGTAGTAGGCATTGATAATTTTATTTCAGAAAATTTCTCCCGTATTGCTAGACTGTTCGTTATTACGATAGTACACCAATTCAAACATATTTAAGACAATGACTGTCTTTGTAGATGTGTTAATTATTTTTATCCTTTTCATTTTTATATTATTTTCAGTTCATTCCTTAAGATTTATGTGTCTTTTTATTACTTGCTGTAATAATGTGTTTTTATAGTCAAAGCCTTTGCAGTGATTTGACCAGACATTGTCTCTGTATATTCTTTTTAATTTGTGGTTTTCAATATCTTCTTATCATATGATCATATATCTAATTATCTATCTTGAATTAAATCTCCCTTCAAGATATTTGAGAAAGTATACCATTGTTAAAAGTAATTAGATAATGACCCTGTATGAAATTTGTCTAAAATGTTTACCCACATAATAAAATCATAACTATGTACAATTTGATATTAAAAAATCGTTATACTATTATATATCTAGGTAGTTACATTTGTGGTAAATTGCAAACCAAAAGATGTCGTCGTGTGAGAGAGCCTCTTGGAAAGAAGAAATTTGCCTTCACGTAATATAAAGGTTATACGTTTACTTTACAATTTATCATTTTGACTGTGTTTTTGTTGTGTTTTACAACTTATAATTTCGACTGTCTTAAATAGAAGCTTTGATCAGTCTCGATCCGTTTTGGAGTTTCCATCAGAACTTTTTCTCTGTTTGATTGTTCAATATGTATTTGATAGTTTAATTTGAACATTTGTCGATTAATGTTGCTTTTTACTTAATCAGTTATATTACTTGATACATACATTATCAATATTTGTTTTATCAAGCAAAAATACATTGAAATGCTTTTAGAACAAAACTATGAATCGACATAGAAAAAATACTTCTTTAGTAGGACGCAACAGTACTTTCATGTAAAGGACGTACACTGTTCATCCAACGTTGAATTTTTGACGAATATTTGTATACAGTTTATTTTTCACCTAGTCAATACAAATATGTAAAACAAATTTACCTTCATGTGCTACTCTAAGAGATAAATAGGGTCGAAATTTTAGACATTTACTCAATATTTGAGTTTCTTGGACATTTCTATCCTTTGAACAGACATACCTAATTTTTTTGGTATCAAAAGATAAACACAAGCAGATTTTTGTAAAAACATTTAAAACCTGGTTGAATCCACCATTTTCTACATAAGAAAATACCTGTACCAAGTCAGGAATATGACAGTTTTTTCCATTTGTTTGATGTGTTTGAGCTTTTGAGTTTGCCAATTGTTTAGAAGTGACTTTCCGTTTTGGGTTTTCCATGGAGTTCGGTGTTTTGTTGTTTTACATTTTTTGGAATGTCTTCTTAAAATAAGTATGCTCTGAATTTGTGTTACACTTCTTTGGAAATAATTCATTTCTATTAAATAACATGATTTTTAGAAGAAAAAAAAACACGTCATTTTTGGCTATATATTTATTCAATTTAAAAAAAAAATCGTTTGTGATTTGTTCATAAAAATTTGTA